TATTATAGTTTTTACAATTTTCTTTCCTACATATTACAGTTATTATAATTTTTTTTAATTTTTATTATTCCATCTCTACATAGCTTTACCTATAAAATAGATTTTACTTTTCTTTTCTAATTTCATTCAGTGGATTATTTATGCATTATTTTAGCTCCATTATTGTAGTATCTGAACCCCCTATTACCCAAACTGTCCTCGTTAATTTATCCTAGAGCCTATTTAATACCTTGGATGTTTTACTTATATTATTTTGTCATTTTATAGTTATAAGTCTTTTGACCAGATTTGTAGTTAATATATATGAACAATACTGTTATTCTAAAGGGACCTAGTCCCAGAATAAAGATGATTTTTCTATTCTATTCTATTCTATGATTGATGATATATATTTTTTCGCTACGTCGCTTAGTTTCCGAGATATCTGTCCTCAACTATGGATAACTTTGAAAAAAATATTTTTGACTCATGTTTATTGCTGTATTTCGGATTTTCGCTTATATTAGGAAAACTATCCATCAAATAAAAAAAGACGTTCTGTACAAAATTAAAGCTGATAAAATTTTGCAATATTAGTGATTAATACCATTTTTGCTACCTCGTTTAGTTTCCGAGATATCCGCCCTCAATTATCACTAATTTGTAAAAGAAAAATTGTAATGTTGTTATAACAGATTTTAAGAATTGTCTCTGAAGATGGGCAAAGAGCTTGAAACATTTGACATAAGAAATAAATAACATATTACGGAAGAGAAAATAGTTTTTTATAATCAGACCTAGAATATTGTATTGTATCGAAGGTCATCGGTGGGCTTATGTACGTATATTTTTCGCTTACATTTCAGCTCTTAGAAGTGTATTCAAATTTGGTATGTTGGGTAATACTTTAGACACAGAGAGACCACCCTGCAAAATTGATATATAACTATGTGAAATTTTTGGTAAATTACAGATCAAAATGTCACTAAATCTTTATGTTAATTAAGTTGGAACTAGACATATTTTTTTTTTGGATTAATATTGTCCCACCTGGATTCAAAGCTTTTTCGGAACGCATTAATTCCCTAATGACATGTTCTAATGTTAAATTTAGCACTAAAGGTGGATGCGAATCACCCTTTATCAAACCTGAACGAACCTTAAACCATTCGGATAAATTGTACCGTACCATTCTCATAAAGTATAGCACTTGACCATACTTTAGTATCAAATCATGGACTGTTCAAAGTTCACATAGTTTTCATGTTCAGCAATAAACTTATCCTTTACGTGGCATAAAGCTTTGAGGCTCAAATTTGTGTGCCTACGCGAATTCTTTATGCTATAGATATGAATTCCTTTTATTATACTTACTTATTTTTCTGTTATAGTGGTTAAAGAATATTAATTGGATGAATTGTACCACATGAGCAGTAATTATGTCTAATAAAATATTTAATGGTATATAAATATTTTATGCTGGAGGCCGGTTCTTCCTATATTTATAGCCATTACTTAAAAATAACATTCACACAATTCATTAAACAGTTTAGGTAATCATTTTATTACATTACTGATAGATCATTACTAAGTTACTCTTGATGTACGTGACGTTCGATTCCCCGTTCCTCTCCTATGCATTGAACATTGTTATCCCATAACTAACCTTTCCCCCCTCCCCCACAAATATTTCCTTAATACCTATGAAACAAAAACCTAAATAACAACATAATTTCATGCTAATCACATAATTCTAACATTTCTTACAACGAGAATTTCTTTGTTAATTTTGGTTTTTGTTTCATTTGACACAACGCAGCATAGTTTCTTTGACAGCCTCGCCAATATACTCCACATCTGACCATCATACTGTCTATAGTTTATTGATGACTTCTGTAGGATCATTTTTATTCTTATCTTGTCCTATGGCCAATTATGCTTCCAAACAAGCAAAACTGAAACAGAGTTTGTTTCTGCATCACACAGGGTTTGTATGCAAACATATAAACAAAGCCATTTTTTTTTTAAAAAGAATTTGCAGGATTGATAGATAATATAATAGCTTTGGTATTCGATTGATTAATGATTTGTCTGCTATTATTTTTATAAGTCGTCTTTTTATTTATTCTTCCATTATTCTATTAAGCTTTGTAACTTTCCTTTTTGTTTATAATTCTTCTTTTAATTATTTTTTTCATTTAATTCTATACTGCAGCCTAAGAAAAAAAATTCAATAACTCAAAAGGATATTTTTGGAAATCTGATTCAACTTAAACTTTTAAGGTTTATGTTTTAAAAAATTAATTTCACGTTATGTATATTTTTTACTTATTATCTGACTTCATTTGTTTCCATCCGTTGCTTCACAGGTCTCTTTTTTTTCTCTTTATTTTGAGCTAAGCCTGAAGTCAGGCATTTTTTTTTTCAATTCTGTTTGTGATTGCCTCTCCCTGATGAACCTTTTGTCTTCCTTCTGTATCAGGGATTTAATCTAGAAATATCACTGTTGCTTTGACAGAAACGCAATTTGAAAGTCCCCAAGAAATTTATCTATTATTATCACTTGAATTCGGAACCGTATTAAACTGTTATTTTGTGACAAACTCGTTATTTAATTAACAATGAAATGTATTTTAACTGTATTCTCTCCAAATCACATACAAAGTTAAAAATTAATATGCATTTTTTTCCAAATCTTCAAAACTAGAACTGCGACAGAAACTAACAAAATCTATACTTTCTTAAACCTATATGAACATACCCCTCGCTCATATGTGGTATAGCTAAAACGACTCACAAAAACTTCAAACGCGTAAAGACTTTAAAACAATTTCATGCTAATATATCCGGCCTTAATATTAATAGAGGAGGAGATTAAAAAGGTGCTAGATGAGAGACCTGCTTGCTTAACAATCCATGGTAATTGAATTATACCAGGTAGGGAGGTTCTCTTAGGGCTAAAAACAAAATATATATATATATATATATATATATATATATTGATTATTTATTTTATTTAACTTATAATATGTTCATTACAATTAGACTGAGAGTAATTCACTCAATACGTTTAATCACAAATAAATCTGATATTAACGAAACACTATACCCGCCAGTTTTTTTGCTATGGGGAGGGGTGAAGAGAGGTGGAAGTTTGCACAACTTTTGAATGGATTGGCCAAGTTTTGTAAAACTTTGCTAACATGTTCTAATATGGCCGACTAAAAACCATTTGCGGGCTATTCATTACCCTGCCAGTTCATTATTAGAAAGCGACTAAAAATTTATTGAAAGTAGGTTTTGTCGGGTTGGACCTAAATAATCGTAAAAATAAAACATTTAATAAAAATCTAGTACGGTGAGTACATAACAAATTTTTCAATTGCCATCCTACTTTGATTATAAATAAATTTTTAGTGAATTAAAAAACTCTAACGGCCAACTGCACCAGTGACGCCTATAACGAAGATCCAGTTAACTAAGTTTAAACTAACAGTAATAGTTCTACTCCATTATCTCAACTGCTTTTTGTTTGTGCAAGGTCAAACCAAACAGAGATTTAGATAAGAGGAATATTATGTTTAGGATATACTATATAGTTTTGTATGAGATTTTCAACGTTAATGGCGTTTATTTTCCTTAATATACTGTATACCTTCAATCTATTATTTTATTTACTTTTATTGTGATAAATTACTTTTTATAGATACCTAAATTATAGAATTGATGCAATAAATTTTATAATATATTTTTCAGTTTATTATTTTTTTTATTTATGAAAATAATCATCATTTGAACAATGTATACAATGATTCACTCGAGGATGAAATACTTTTTTCTTTGTCAGTATATGTGCAAGTAATTCAACAAATTCCTCGTCATCTGTCAAGCAGTCAATATCTAACAATTTTATTTTATTTTTTGTACAGAAAAGTTAAATATCAATTGATACCAGATATGTTATAGCACTAAAAACAGTGAAAAATAAACTATAAATTTATTTTAATAAAAGATAAAAAACCCAGCGAGGCTGCTGCCATCTATGGGAAAGTAAGAGAAACAAATGAAGGTTATCACATGTATTGTAGATATATCGGAAGGATATGAACTTAACTATCGAAAAATGTTTTTGATTTGGAACATAAGCTTGGATAATAATTAGCTTTATTTGGATTTTACTAGATTTCATTTATATTCTTTATAGCGTTTTTCATTAAGATGAAGATAATTTCCCATTTATCCATGTTAATGCTGTGGTCAAAACTTATAAGTTGTTATAATTAGCATTCTTACAATTCATCTTTTATCTAACAATCTATATTTAAAAATTCTGTAGAAATTATAATATGAAGCTGAAGAATGAAGAACAATCAAATAACCGTTGGAATTCTTACAAGTATGAATCATATACCTAGAAATATCAGTTTTCATGTTTTATTAGACATTTAAGTTTATTTTTTAATAATAATTTATTCAATTATTACTCATTTATTCTTGGTAGTGCATAAAGCAAACTTTAAGCGGAACTTAAAGTTTGGCTGTCTAGACAAGCCTGGAACTTGAATGAAATCGGTTTGTGAATTATAATTAAAATTACCCACCTACCAACTTAATTCAGCTACTAGAATGTTAAACACAATATTAATTAACTAATGCATTAATCATTTTAAAATAAAGTTGGCTACACCAAAGCAATTTTTATTTAAAATAAACTAATCAATTTACTACAGCATATTTTTTAGTATTCCTATTTATACAATAGATACAGTCCGCTATCAAGTATAATCCAAAGAACCAGATTAAATATCAAATTATTATGGTAATATCCCTAATATAGAACGGGTATACCTTAATAGATTAAATACTAATAATCTCAGTTGAACTCTCAAAGTAAAGTAAAAAACCATGGTCGACCTGTAAGGTTTAAACTCAATTACAAGGTTAAACTTGGAAATTTAAACTAAAGTAATGCTAAACTAAGGGAGAAATGTGTGTGATAAGATTCTGTATTGTTGTTGTAGTGGTACAAGCTGACGGACCCGCTGGTGTGGCTGGAGGCCGGAACCCAGATCTTCTTCTCCCTGGGCCTAGCCTTTGGTGGTCTCATCGCCTTTTCCTCTTACAACCCTGTCAACAACAACTGCTACCGGGACGCTGTCATGGTCTCCCTCACCAACTGCTTCACCTCTATGTTCGCTGGAATAGTCGTCTTCTCCATCATAGGTAAGTAATCAGTCCCTACTATCAGTCAAATTCAGACCTAGTCTACACGAACGACCTGAAGCCGTAATTACTGCATCTACCAACTAAAGATAAGAATAACTCCACTAAATAAACACATTTCTTTAATTATACCTAATTCAGACCAAGATAGCAGAAGAAGATAGTATTGTGAATCCTACTTATACTATATTAATTGCAATACACCATTTTATCAAAACTATGGACCTCACTATACATTAAGATATCAAGTATTAAGATATTAAGATACGCACGTGAATAGTTTAAGGAATAACCATGTAAAATTGTTAAATATATTTTAGGTCATTTATTATATGCAACCCTTAAGTTTCCGGACCCATAATACCATTACCAGTGATTTCAAGGGGATCGGTTTAAACATTAGGATACTCAACGTAAAACGTTGACAAATACAATTAAACACTACTGTAATAATCCTGGAGCCAGGGCCGAAAAATCGACTTGATTGCAGAAGAAGGTTTGATTGTAAATTACGAAAGTTCATGTTATTCTGAGTAAAAAATACCTTGTCTGCCGTTCTAGAGACGCTGCTTTCAAAAATTGAGGCTGATTTAAAGAATATTAGGCCAACAATTTGAGGATCGAAGCGGGAAATCCATTGCGAAAAAAGTGAGAAAAGTTTTTATTTTTTTAACTTTTATATATGGGTTTAGACATGTAAAAAACAAAATTGCTAACGCGGGCCACCAAGGGAAAACTTTTTACAGCCAAAAAAGTCAGATTTTTTCGATATTTTTGGGGTTTTTCACCTATAACTCCTAAACAATACATCAAAGCGAAAAATGTATTATTTAATAAATTAAAGGACGTTAAATTTTGCGTCAAACGGGTACATAAACTTTAAAATTTGGTTACGCGGTATGGTATACAACCACGGTCAACCAACGCTGAGTTTTACCAAATTTGTCAAAAACTGAGACAATTTACTATAAAGGGCCCTGTAACTTGGAAATGAGTTCCCTAAGAGGAAAAACCCAAAGAATCAAAATTGTAGAGCATCAAATTTTGCGTCCACTGAGAGCTGACATTTTTATTCTTTTTATAATGTATAGTATGTCTATTGTCTCACTTCCGACCGATAAGTTCTTAGAAATAATAATTTTGGTTTATACAAACTAGATAAAATAAAAAAAAATGGGTAACTTTTTTAACATTCTTCACAGGCGGATAAGGCTTTCGGGCTGTAGCCCCCCCCCTCCCAATAGTAAAATATAATCATATCTTATGAAAAAAAATTTAATAATTCCCCCTAAAAGTATTATTTTCCGTGTAATTACATGTAACAGTACTTAAAGAATCACTTGAACTCTATTTTATGTAGGTAGTTAGTTTCTTTCTTTTTCTTCCTAAGTAATTATCGTTATATATTAAAAAAAATCTTTCGGGCTGAAGCCCCCCAAAACCAAATCTTGGATCCGCTGGCGACATTAATTATTTTCATTGGAGTTCAGTTCTGTTCTAAATGTCTTTCCATCAAGCTAAACCTCCCTCCATCGAGTAAATATTTTGATAAAGAAAAGATCTTTCAACAGTTACCTTTCTTGTTTATATGAACTTAAAATGTTTGGTGCATAATCCTTATCAGTATTTCCTTCATTTAAAACAGGGGTCTCCAAGGCTTCTGGCCCCGGGTCACACCGAGTCCTTCAAAGTCCCACAGGCTTGTCAAAAAAAGATCTTGTCCTACAAAGGACACTTCATTAAAAATGAGCATTCTAAGAGAGAAAAAACATGAAAAAATTATTGTAGGAATCTCTTGTAAGAGTAATTTGGTAAATTTCACATTTTTAAAAATTTTATAATGAAAGAAAGAAGCTTTCTTGGATCGGACTGGAGCTGCTTCTGCGACAAATCCGGACCGCGGGCTGTAGTTTGGACACCTCTCATTTAAAATGTAGCTGCATTGTAATTGTGACTTATTTTCATATTTTTTTTTTTTACACTGGGTTCAATTTTTCTTAATTTAATTTCTCTTTTTCATTATTTCTCTTTTAAAAAACTTATTCTACGTTCGCAATAATAAGGATTTGTGAATTTAAACAAAGGTTTTTTGATTTGAGATTCTTTATCGCCATTGGAATTGTACTAAATCGTAATTTAATGTTTGCCAATTTATATTGTATTGAAAGTGTTTTGAACAAACTAAAAGGCCAAACTAGAACGAATGGCCGAGATTAGAATAATTGAGCTCGTGTGATAAATAATTTAAATAAATATTAATTCATAATTTCGTGATATAATTTAAATAGATTTTTTTCATTAATTAAAAATGGAATACTAATTGAAACTATAATTTTTAAATTTCAAATCCTAAAATAAAGAAAAATACAATTGGTACAGAAAATCCTCAACCACTACAATTTTTGTACCATCACAACAAGCCATTTTTATTATATAAGCCAATAGGCCTTTTTTATTCGAACGTCAGTTATGATTTGGCTGAATTTCAAGCAAAAAAAAAAATACATCAATACATTTAAAAATTACTAACATTAGCTCAATTTTAAAATTAATCTATATTTAAGCTCTATTTATTTATGTTATAAATATTTTTTAAGAGGAACAGAGATGAATAAATCAATACACAATGTATAAGACGAATTAGCATAAACCTATAATATGTAAGACACACAGAAATTAAAACTTCAGTGTAAAGAACACTATACGGTCATTAACCATCTTGCTTATGTTATTATTTTTAGAACTAATAAAGCTTACTTCGGAATATTAAAAGTTAAAACTTGATATATATTGTATTAAGCTCGAGAGAGGGGCTCTGCCTCCGCTCTCTAAACTTAGCTACCTCGACAGCAATGATGGATCTTTCCAGTTTCCTGTTTGATTAAATCATATATCATATAAAATCAACATCAACGGGCTTGCGGGTTTCAGTTGATTAAAGCAACAATGCTTTTAAGAACTAATCTATCTCTTAACAGAATTTCGTCTTGAGTCAAATTTTATTTTTTGATATACTTTTTTATTCTTAGTTTTTTGACTTCCTAATATAGGAAAAATACTTATTTCTTCAGTGGCTCTAGAGCCGTTATCGAGTCTCGTCCTTCACAACAAAGCCTCTCCAATCCTCTCTCTATCAGGCCCTGCTTCTACATTGCCCAATTCTCATCTTCTGCAAACCGTCCTCCACGTCATCGATTCACGTCAGTCTGGGCCTTCCTCTCTTTCTTTTACCTCCTGGTTTACCATACAATAGTTTTTTTGGGTATCTATCTTCTCCCATCCTTTCTATGTGCCCAAGCCATATGATCCGGCTGGAATTAACATACGTAACTATGTCTGGTTCTTTATAATGTACTCTATTCCTTATTCCTTATTTTCTGTTGCCTTTCTATATATACTGGTCCAAAGATCTGTTGAAGGACCTTCCTTTCTCGGATCTGGAGGATCTTCTCAGAATTCACGTTTTACCCGCGTTAGTGACAATTGGTCTCAAGATTGTTTTATAGATAAGCAGCTTTACCTTCGTGATAGGTTTCGAAAACGAATGTTTTCCGTAATGCAAAAATCTGTTACCTGCTGCGATTCTTGCTTTACTTTCTACTGTGGTGTCATTTTTTCTCGTCACTAAAGCTCCTAGGTATTTGAAGCTGTCAATATCCTTAAAAGTATGGTGGAGCAGCTGCATTCTCTCCTACCCTTTGTGTCCCTTACTTTTTGAGGATGTTTTGTGTTGGGTTTTTACCTTGTTTATCTTCAGATCCAATTTTTTCCTAGCATCTTCAAACTCCTGTTAAGTTCCTGATAGTGCGGCTTTAGATCTTGATGATATAACTATGACATCAGTATACGCTAAGTGTTGAGTGAGTCTTTTATATTTGTTCGTCCTGATTGCTCTGGTTCCTTGCTCCAATGCAATATTGAATAATACCGAGGAGAGAAGATCTCCTTGGGGAACCCGTTCTCCACCTCGAATTCTTGCTTCCTTCGAGGAAAAATATAGAGATTAAAAAAAAATCCATCTAGTAAGATTTTAATAAGACGTCAAGGTTTTCTACAAGTAATAATTTTTCAACGAACGGTTTTCGAAATATCTTTCTGTTACAGATAACTGGTTTACTCTTAGGTAGGCCTAAGTAAAAAATTTAAATCGATAAAATTAAAATTGGACCAACTAGGTTTCAAATGGCACAATCTCGAAGAAAGTATTTTTTTTTAATTTATTCATATTTGGCTAAAGATACCAGATTTATTCCTTGATACCAACAACGTTGCCAATATATTTTAATGTTTCAGTAATATGAAATATATTTCAGTATTTATTTAATTTATGTTTAAGGAATTTTAAGTACTATTATAATTAAAAATCATGATACTTAGTAAAAATATAATGATTGTATGTAAAATTTAATATTATATTTTTCTATAAAGATTTTTTTTTACAGTGTTGTTTTTTATTCAATTACAATATTAGATCCACTGAAAAACAAAACAACCGAAAAATGGATGATTTTAAAACCGGTTGTATTCCATGACAGAATGGTTAAAGCGAAGAAGAGGAGGGGAGGTGGGCTAATTAACCGATATTCCAATAACCGCCTTCATAAGTTGATTAAAACATGAAATTAAATATTATGACCGGATTGTAAGGTGCTGGTGGAATACTTAAATTATACTAAATAAATTGCGAGTTTCAAGTTGACTAATTAATTTTTTATTTACAAAGGCGTTACAATATGAGTATATATTAATATTAGAAATTACAGCTATTTCATAAACACTATTATAGTTTGTATTGTGTACAAGTAATTTAAAATGTGTTCTCTACATAATATGTGTAGGTTTTACCATCAGTAGCCAAGTCGTAGTAATAACTTCTTAAAGTAGTAGGTATTTAATTAATGTCTTTAGTAGTTAAGGAGAGTTTCAGGCCCCATTCGCAAAAAAAAAAACAGTACCTTAAAATCTACCTTCCCCCCCTCTTCAAAAAATATATTAAATAATAATTTAAATATTTAATTCGAGATTATCAATTATTTGAATGTTGAAAATACAATTTCTGTTGTAGGTTTCAAAGCTACACTCAATTATGAACGGTGTTTGGAAGAGAAAAACAGCGGTGTTCCTATACAGCACCTGGGACATCTTGCCACTACTTTGGAAAATGCAACGAAAGCAGTGATCCATTGCGATTTACAGCAAGAACTAGAAAATGTGAGTTTTTTTTTTCTTTGACATAATGCGATAATTGCTTTTCTGAATGTAACCTCATTAAAACCAGTGTTGTTATTACTCATTTTACTTTTTATTTTATTAGTATTACAAGTTACCATCAAGATTTGCCATTAATATTCTTATTAATAAAGAAATGTGTGCACATATATAAATAAAAAGGGAGTGCGGTAATTCAGTGGGTGAGCACTGACTTCCAGAGCTCAATATCCTTGATTCGAATCGGGCAGGTGACTAGTAATTTTTTATCAGCTGTGGATCGTTCCTAGAGTCGGGAGACCCTCCAGAGGTACGCTCAGTCTCTATAATGTGGGTCCTCTTAATTAAATTATTAACCTTAAGTAAGTTGCTTAATTAACACCTTAATTAAGGTGGATAACCTGGCGGTCGAGCGTGATATCGGCCCAATAACGTTTGATATCCACTTCAATAAATTCCACTCTGTGAATTTGTAATACACATTTCAATATTTTTGATCCAATTCAATCAGGAAGGCAAGTTCAGAACGCTGTTCTCTTTGTCGACTGGCAAGCAGCAATCCTCGCCATTACTGACGTGAATAAATGTATGTCGAGTGCTATCTTGGAGTGCAAATCCATTCTCTACGATCTAACACTCCGAGACACCAATGTGGCCCTTCAGTGGATTCCGTGCCATTGCGGTATTCCAGGAAATGAGAAAGCGGATAGTCTCGCCAGGAGGGGAGCAGAATTGCCACAAACAGTCCATCCAAAATCCTACGATTCAATTCGGCAAATGGTGAGGTTGTTAGTGAAGGAGGGAACAAAAAATATGCACAAAGACAAGGTGGAAGGGAGACGTTATGGATGTTTGATGGAAAACCCGATCCCAGCAGACCTACCAAGAAGAGATGCAGTAGCCTGCTTCCGCCTGGCCACTGGTCACGGCTATCTACAAAGTCATCTCCACAAGATAGGCGTGGCTGAGGATCCTAGATGTAAATTATGTGAACAAGCGGAAATGGATGCAGACCACCTAAACGAATGTCCTGCTTTGACGGATATAATGAATCAAACATATGTAAATGATTACATACAAAAATCAAACTTATATTGGGCAGCAAGATGTCGGATGGTCGAATGACCAATGACTATGGCATAGGAAAAAATATATATATTTTTGATCTTCTCTGTTTTAAAATTTTTAGAAATGTTATATCTTCCTTCGGTGCTAATTCATACTCTCTTTCCTGTATTTCCTGCATCTAAACAGTATGTTTCGTCAAACTTCATAAATGCCATACTTTTCAATATTCATAAGATTCAGATATGTCTACGTTTCCCCCCGTGATTACAATTACTCTTATAATATGTAATTATATTTTCTCGCTTGTGTCGCAGATTCAGAGCAAACCATGGTACAAGATTCACAATTAGCTATACTTGATCATGGTCTCTCCCTTTTATTTGCGACTCCCAGTCGTACCGATGTTGGCATTTCCTCATCGTTTCTCACTTAATAAATCTTATGAGATCCGTCCTGTGTATCTTGGTGTTCTCTTTGACAGTTTGTCTTATCCTTGTAGCTCTGTCAGCAGCTTCGTTTACTGACAAGCCTACTTGGCTTGGCAGTGAAGTTTGTAGTCTTATATTGTTTCTGATATTATCAAATGTTACATGAGATGTATTTTTTTTTTGTAGTGACTACTTTTTTTTTGTCTACAATAAGAAGCTAATTCGGGCCACTTTTTAAAAACATATTTGTTTACAGTTTTCTCTCCATCTATATTTTAATATTTAACAATGCAATAAGTACTTATTTATTATTATTTTTTTTTACTTTTCATTAAAATTCAACAAGCTGTTCTAAAAATCATTATAAATAGCAATCATTCTGTGCTGGATCCAATCGAGGAAATTATTGCTGAGTTTAGAAACTTTTCTTTATCAATTATTCAATCACTAACTTTTTATATATATTGCAGTGCGAAGCTGGTACCGGCTTGGCGTTCATAATATTTACCGAAGCAATAAACCAGTTCCCTGGCGCCCAGTTCTGGTCAGTTCTGTTTTTCCTGATGCTCTTCACCCTCGGGATCGATTCACAGTTCGGAACGCTTGAAGGAGTCATCACTTCTATTGTGGATATGAAACTTTTCCCTAATTTACGAAAGGAAATTCTTACAGGTATTAAAATAGATATTGAAATTTAATAATTTATTATATTTTCTACAAATTAATTATATTTCTTTCATAATTTTTTTTAAGGTGTCATGTGCCTGGTTTGCTGCCTGATATCTATGAGTTTCGCACACGGAGCTGGGAGCTATGTTTTTGTTTTGTTCGATAATTTCTCTGGCAACTTTCCACTTCTTATCATCGCTCTTTTTGAGTGCATCGGAGTTGCATACGTTTATGGTCTGAAAAGGTTTGTTAATTATTACTTTATGATAATTATTTACATTCTTAAATATGCAAGAATTTTTCGAGAGGGTAAAACGCTATGTTGGGTTCGCTGTATTCACTGGGTCCTTTGTCACTTGTGTTTGGTTAAAAATAGTTTGTTTTGACATTGTACATTACAACATTGGATAACAAGAGAAAAGTGGAACTTTAAAAATTCAGTGTGGCAGACTGTATTAATCTCTATAAAAGTTAAAAAAAAAAAAATTATAAATATACTGGAAAGGAAAGAAAAATAATTTATTTTGATTGATTATTTTTGTTATAAGTAATGTGTGTACAGTTTTATATTTTTAAAATTTATTTTATATTTTATATTATTTAGAAAAAAGATTAATTTTTATTTTTGAAGATGGAGTAAGGACATATCTGGATAACAAAAACTCGTTATTTTGAATGAAACTAATTAGTAGTTAGGTAAGTCTTCCCTTCACTTCTTGTGATTAAAATCACTTCTTGTCAGTACAATCCGTCAAGACATCTCACTGGAATATCAGTAGGAATGTCATTCCCACTGACTGTGTGGACCCAACAATGGACCCTCTTTAAAACCCATCTATATGACCTTCAATTATTGATCCTATTTCGTTAAATATTCAAATGGTCTTATCCCATCTTCAATTTATTTGGTTATCTGGCCACTGAGGTATTAGAGAAAATACGATGCCATTACCATCACTAAAAAAACAATAAAAGAAGAAATGGCAGTACCAATTGCATTCATCAAATTAATATTTGTTTTCTCACAAAAAAAGATGTGTGATAAATGCAAAACATAAGAATTGTAGAATCTGAATTGAGAGAACCTTCAGTAGACAAGAGAAATGAGGTAATACTGACTTATCTAAGGAAAGGTTACGCATGAAAATGGGGACAATGTCTCCCATTGGGTGGAACCACACGTACTGAGAAAGTGTTATTTACATATGGTTGAATGAAATATGCATATGTAGTTGGACTTAAAACTGATATTACATTAATCTTGGAAATCAGTATGAAGATGACAGAAAAATTGTATAAAATATGTTGAGAGTGGGGATGCTTAGTGAGTTAAATGTTGTGCTCCTATGCTCCAGGTCACGGGTTAAAAATGTAAGAATCAAGTACTGCAGTGGTTAAAATACTGACTGATAAATAAGCAGCATATCTCTGTACACTGACCATATTAGACCTCCTCAAAGTTCTTTTTTATCACTGACCTTAGTAAATTTAATCAATGTTTTCTCAAAAAGATTTTGTCTACTTTACGATGGTAATCTTAGAATTTAATTATCTTGAACAGTATTTGAGCAATTACTTCTTATTCAATAAAAACCACGAATACCTTAAAAAAACACAAAATTGCTCTTAACTCCTTTTCCATTTGGAATCAACCAATGCATCAAATGAACTTTTTTGTTGGAATTTTGTCTAGAATAACTCACCCTCCCCCAGGACTGGTCATTAAGAACTGAGAGACCCAAATAAAGTGAGTTCTTTTAATCAGATTCTCTTATTAATTCAGAGAAAACCTGGCGATTGAGGATGATCTTGGTAAAATAATCCCCTCGCACAACCATTTACCTAGAAAAAGTACTTCGTTACGAAGTATAATGTTCCTGTATTTTTAAACATATGTTATACATAATACTGTTAAATGTTGCATCATGCTATCAAATATTATTATATTTTTTTGTAGTTTTATGTTTTTGTAAGAGATAAAATGGTGTGGTTGAACAGCTCAGATAATTTTAAAAATAAATAAATCTAGTGTTTAAAGTTATCAATTTAATGTATTCAGTACTCAACATGATATCAAATATTGTGAGTAATTATTGACTTATTATAAATTATTCCTTTCATGCATTTCTCCATCAACCTTTTTGGAGACAGCCCTGATGAAGGCCTGAACTTCAGGTCGAAACGTCGACAAACGTCAAAATAAATATTATCATTTATTTTTGCCTTCTTATTTGACTGATCACTCTAACTATTCTTCTCTTCTATATCAAATATTATTTTATATATAAGCTAATAACTTCTTATTTACAATGAAAAACCTCTTTATGGGTTCGCAACATTTTTTTTATTGGAATAAATATTAATTTATAAATGCTCTGCATATGGTTGAAAGAATGAATGACAAATCAAAATTAAAAAAAAACAAGACTGTATATTCGATAATTTTGAACATAATCTTCCAGCCTGAGCTGCTCTCACAATGTTCTCCTCAAGTTGTTTTCCTATTGTCAATGGTGATTTTAGGGAGCCTCTATGAAGATATCTTGAGGCAAGATTCTTGCCACATCCATTTGGAATATAATATTTTCTATTAAGTGCTACAACTTTGTCATCATGTTATGGTTTCAGGTTTGCTGATGATATTGAACTGATGACTGGAAGTAGGCCTGGCCTTTACTGGCTCATCTGTTGGAAATACTTGTCGCCGTTGGCAATGAGCCTCATCCTGGCAGCTAGTATAGCCGACCTCTTCATGTACGGTAGCACTTATCCAGCGTGGGCTGCTGACATTGGAGAAACTGTACCTCATGAGTGGCCACTTTGGGCTATTTTACTCGCCTGTCTCCTGGTAACTGTAGCAGTGATATGGATACCTCTGGTAGCAATCTTCAGGTGAGTATATGAAATAAATTCCCATCATTCAAAACTCCAATTAACTTTGTATATAAAGGGAATGGAAGCTCTTGATAATCCAAAATTAGGATTGAAAAAAAATTATTTGTTTTAAGGTAGGTTAATAAAGAAATCAGACTCAAAACTATTGTGATCCTTTATTTTAGAAATATCTAATAAAAGGAACGGAGGGTTCAAACTTCAAGGAACTACCTTTAATATTGAATTTAACATGATATGAGTATTACCATAAGAAAATAATGCCAAAATCTCAATATGATACAATTAAATGGTTATCAACGAGGTCAAAACTGTCAATTCCATCAATAATAGACTGAAAATTGCCACCTCACTTAAAGGTTTTATAGGACCAAGGGAGGGTAAAGTTGATTGTCTGCTGTTGTGCCTGCTGCACAATCTGAATGATTAGCAGTTGTGGTGAAACAGTCTGTAAATATAAATTTAATTTGTGACATAATGCAATGACCATTGTCAAATAACCCAACAAACAGCATTTTTAAAGGCTCTGACAAATATGTTTTTGAATTCTGATAATTTTTTTGGAATGCTGGAGGATCAATCAATAATAAATATACAGAACATAAAGGTATTCATTAGAAACAATGAGATCGACCTCTTTGCTGTGATGGAAACAGGGAAATTGATTGATGATATGCAATATTACCAGCTACCAAAATACAAAGTTATGATATGTAAACGATCTCAACTGATCATTTCTGGTTTTGTGATCGGATGAAGGACTAACTATACAACTAAAGTAAATATAATGCATTAAATGATTTTTAATGATAAACATGAGGCTATGCCAATACATACAACAATCAACATTGCAGAAATTTCTAACTCTGGCATAGGGAAAAAAGAATAAAACATTTTTTATTTTCCTTTCAAATACCTCACTCAGTTTTGATTTTGATATTTTGCTTGCATTCTTAAAAAATAGTATTTATTATCATTTAATTTAGCAAAAGAAAGATCTTTTTTCATTTCAAAATTGAAATCTTGGATCAACCTTTACATACAATACCAGATGTGAAACAGGTTTTATAATTAGTGGAATTTTCTGGAATGGTTCTAGACAACTATCTATTAATTGTAATACTATTTTGTTTTCAACTTTTTCTAAGTGGCTTACTCATTCAATTCAAGTGGCAGTTAATTGATGTTTTAAAATGATTTTTTGTTTCTAAATATTGATACAATAAATCTAATGTTTTCTGTAAAGGTTATTGAGCGTAGTCATCATAGATGACAATGAAAAAGCTTGGTTTCCTTCCGGGGATCTGAAAGAATTCCACGGTATTGTAGAGCATGAAGTCACAACTGCTGAAACACTCCTTTTCTGCATAAGACCGGATGGAAGTGAAGGTTTTTGCTGCCCAACTAGTCCACCAGAAGAAGACTAGTCTAGAACAGATATAAAGTAATAGTATGTATATTATATAAAGATGATATGTGTAAATAGTCTTAGTTGTAATTATGTGACATAGACTGAGAAGGAACATATTGAATACATCTGTGTTACATGAGTAAGAACCTGAAACTAATTTATTTTATCTATTTTACAGAATTTTAGAATTATTTAGCATAAAATAATTTTATCTCAAGATCTGCCCATATAATTTATTTTAGATACATTATTTTTATGGTTAAAACGAGTGCCAAGTTTCTGGCATAAAATAACATACATTTAAGTATAAAGGATTTTAGTTAAATATATGGTAAAATAGTTTACATGCTTATTTCAAAATATGATACAAATAACTGAAGAATAATATAATAAAATCATTTTTTAATTTAATAAATTATTTTGGAACTGTTTTGCGAATTATTAAAAAAATATTGATGTTATATTTAAGGTGTTAATGCCTTTATTTTATGAGTTTTAAATCTAGAAATAATGGACTAATTCCAGTTAAAATTGGTATCATAACTTGGATTTATAATAGCAAACTACAACGAAATAAAAGAGGCTGATTTATTTATTTTTATTTTTTAATATTTTAATAAAAATTTAATTTAATTTTTCAGATCTAAGAAAATATTAACTACTTCAGAGTGTTATAGAATATTTTGAAATAATCCTCAATTGAAGGCAATTTATTCAAATGAAGGCTTAGTTCAAAATATATAATGTTTTAAATAAAACTAAATAGCATTAAAAGTAAAATAGAATAAGTATTGTAACTAAATGCCTCTGAAGAATTGCAGTTGACAATAATTTTTAGTCTATTTAGTAACTGTCGACAATACTACTACTAGAGGATGTAGAGAATAGTTTTCCTAGATCTTGTCAGCAAATTGGTCATTCAGTTTGAATAGTCTCTTCTGTGTATTTACAAAGTATAATTACTCAAGTTATAAATTATATATATTTCTTGTAAAATAGACTTAATTTATTTCATCTCTTATAGAAAAGTAGTCCGTCACAGTGGTATCGTTTTGGATTCGGAACGTTTTACCATCCATGGAAAGTAATATGATTTTAACCAATTGTTCTAATGTCCACAAGTCCATACAGAGTCCCAGAAATGCATATTATAACAATTTCGCATTTTCCGAGCCAGTCAGTGGGGCCTGATAATATTATTATAAAGTGAAAAAGAAAAGTTATTTATAAAATTAGATATGGAAAAATGAAAGGGACGTTCACCATTTCAAAAGTTCCAAACAGGTAAATACTATTTTGTTACCGTTTAGTGTTTGTTAGACTGACATTAGCATTAGAACTTAAAACTGTTAAGACAATAACATAATTATTAGGTTGTAAATATTATTTTCTATTTGACAATAATTTTAGAGTTATTTTTCTTCGGGGCCTGTCCTGGACTTAATTTACAGTTTTAAAAATTATTGGTAGCAAAGATGGGTTGCCTTCTTCATGATCTCACAATTGCTTCTGTGTTTCACTTTCATACTATTTTTTTTTTTACATCAAGGTTATATTTTGTCTCCATTTACATTGTAATGGGTTTTAGGTGCTCATAAAAAAATCACATATCTCTTGAACTTCCAAAGAAATGTCATTTTAGTGTTCACAAGTGATAATATATAATTTTTTTTATTTTTCATCCAACATGTCAAAATCATAAAATATCTTTTCTCAATATATATATAGAAGACATATAAAAAGTAGATTCTTATTAGTTAAAATTATTCTTTACTGCTAATAATAAAGAATAATAATAAATTTAGGGTATGTTTGCTGGTTATTGATTAAAGTGTATAAAGCACACATTCTACTAAATTATCATAATTTTGAGGGATTTAGCTTTGTTGGCCATGGCTACAATGTATATGAAGACATGTAAAAAGACCATAAAGTAACAATGTATGAGCAAAAACAACACAGTTATATTATACCTAGAAGATTTAATTTTTTATATTTTTATGATTTGATGTGATGGATTAAAAAGAAAAAAGTTTAGCTAAATGCAATCACCTCAGTCATTAAAGATCCGTAATTTTTATTTCAAGAATAAAAGCATTTAACAAAATTTGTATACTTTATTATTTATATTTTCCAAATTTATATTTTACCAAGCTGATATTTCTAGTTGATATATTTTTAAACAGTTCATGAAAATTTTATTTTCTCTCTGGCAAAATTTATTATAATTTATCAACTTAATAAAATATGAAGGCTGAAAAAAAAATTCTTAAATCATCATCTGAGGTTCTGATAATACTCTTCTCTCCAATGGTATCAGAACTTTGCTGATATAAATAAAAATATGTATATTTATATATGATTACAGTTTTAATTTGATAAGGAATATTATGTTTAAGGATTTAATGTTAGTATTATAAAAATATTAGCAATATAAAAATTGTTAATTGACATAATTCATTTGCAGTTATTTAATTAATTATAATAGATATTCAAGAGTTGTTTTAAGAAACTTAATGTAACATTGTATGTTAGTTTAGTCAATTAAAATGTAAATATGGTTAAGCTTATGTATATGTTCTTTGTTGTAGATAGGCAAACACTTTATGTGAAATTTAGCTAAATAACGTTAAGGGAATATTGCAATTAGCCGAGTAGGGAAAAAAAGAAATTCTGTTGTATCAAACGATTTATTATCTTAACTTTTTTTACTTTTATTTTTTAACAGTGTAAAATTGTGTCTAAAACAATATCAATACAATGAATATTAGGCTTATATTGAAAAAAATATATAGGTAGAGCAACAAATGACAATAATTGGAATAAATAAAAATCTATCTGAAGTTTTCAATTTAAAAGCCCAAAATCAAAGGTTATTAACGTTTATTATTTTGTATTATATTAAATTATCAAATGTTTGCACAAATCATACATGTTCTGGTCCAAGAATTTAAATATTAAACAAAAAAACTTTTTAAAATACTACTTATATATTACTGATTAATAAGAACACAGTGAATAATGGAATGCAGCAACTTATAAATTATTTTCAAAAGTCACAATTAAAAATAAATATTAAAATAATTAGTCTTGATGATATCCTGAATTTAAGAGTTTTTAATATAATTATATAGTTTTATATATTTTTTTTTTGATCTGAGAGACAAGGCTTTTGAATTGGTATTATCCGAAATTAAAACATAATCAATGAACATAGTTCTTTAATAATAATTAATATACTTGTTAGAATTTAATACTTACTTAAGAAATGTTTATGGATATTTATTTTGAAAAAAAAAAACACATTCATATAAGAAAAACTTGGCATCATACAATTGTAATTAAAATGCATGAATGTACAATTAAAATTAACATTTTTTAATTATTAGGTTTAATAAGAATATAATATAGACAGTGAGCTGTCAATATCATTTAACAGATAATTTGATTGATTCTTTACAACATCATATCAGCTCTAAATGACATTAAAGTGACTATATTCATTATTACTTACTATATAATGAAAATCTCAAAGAATCTGTTTATTATCAAATCCAAAATAATTTTATAAAATATTATGTAAGATTTAAAAAAAAAAAGAACTTTTTTAAAAATGAATAATTTTTATTCATTCAGTAAGTTGCTTAATTTGCACACAGGAGATACTGTGTTTAGCAGTTCACTGTCAGTATTTAGTTTAAAAAAATTAACTATATTTTTTATTTTGCAATGAACTTGTTTATCAATAATAATTGTTAAAATTAATTTTAAAATGTATTAATAATGATAAAATGTTATAAATATATGTGAAGCTTATGACAAAAAAAACTTTAGTGACCATAACACATTTGAACAAATTTTAATCAATCTCAATTAAGTTGTTGATTAATAATTTAATCAGTATTCATTTTATAAGAGTTCATAAAATTTTCCTGTATCTAAAAATAATTAAATGTTTCTAAACTTTAAAAGAAGTTTAAAAAAATAGGAGTTTAGAAATATTTGATTGAATTTGAGTTCTAATCTTTCAAAGCAGGGAGAGACACTCCAATGGTCCATAGGATGGTTGCCACACTTTCTCAAACAGCCCTTCAAAAATTTTACAATTTAATTTTTAAATAATAAGTCTGAAAATTTTACATAAAATTTAAAATATTTAATAATTTTTAAAAGTTAACATACATAATTTCAGTGAAAATATATGAATTTAGAAACATTTTCATGACTAAGCACAAATGCAAAGCAAATAATGATACTTTTAAGTAGAACCTATAAATGAGTTAAATTATAAGAAATTAATCATTGAAAACTGTGCGCAGGTTGATGTATTATCTATATTTGAAAATATAGACCAATAGGTTTTTCAAATATAGGCCAAATTTCTTATTAAATTATCTTTTCCATCACATATCATATATCATGTTAATGAGAGTTATAATTCTGTAATTTTTTATAGATTTATTTTGTCAATAAAGAGTTTATTGTTTTTCTTATAAATGACCATCACAATAACTTTAAATTTCAGTTGGCCTCTTATAAGAAAGGTCCCTGCTTTAAAGAAATTTAGGAAAAGTTCATAAACTCAGTATTGATCCACCCAGTTTAAAGATCGATCTGATGACATTGATGAGCTCAAAGCTGCGTTTAGGAACTTGCCCATATTCACGTAAATGTCACTGCTTAGAAAAATAATTTAAATTAAATTGAATAATAGTGCTTTTATTAATTGTGAAAAATATCACTTAATTTTATTTTCTTTAAACATTTCTTATATAGAGATAAAATTTTAATAATAACATTCAGAAAGTGTTCTATAAAGTGTTCTGTACATCTGTTAAACATTTAGGAACTATAATGAAATAGAAAAACAAGTTCTAATTTAATTAAATAATTTAAAAACGTCTGATTTAGAAGACAATAATTAAAAGATATTATAGACAATAATAATAAGCTTGAGCATTTAATAAATATTATTCTTATTCATATTTAAATAGGTCATATAAACAGTATAATATTGCATTTTGAATGAAATATATTCAAAAAGATATGGCTATTAAGAACATATCCTGGTACCATATCAATGAATATTTCATATCTTGTTAGAATTTTTGTATGTATTTTTTCAAAGTCAAAGTTATGGGGAATAATGCTATTATTTTTCTATACTTTTCTATAGTTTGATAGTTTTAATTTTCTATCATATATTTTTAAAGTTGTCCATTTTTTTTCAATGAAAAAATATCTTGTACTTCCTGCTCTAAGGCCTTACTAATTAAGTAGAATTTAAGAATGTATTGTTATCTAGATAGTTTCTTCATAAAACAAATAATGAAATGAAGGATATGTTATTTATGTAATTTATTTCAATATTGTTTATATTTAAATTATATTGTTACTGTCATTTAAAAAAAAAAAGGCACAGTTTATTTATTATTTATAGATCATTAGTTATGAAATGTTATCACTTTTTATATAGTATATTTTTTCTGTTGACATTATCTTAGGTTGCAACTGTATGTTTTTTAGATTCATTAATTAATAGTAAGTTGAGTCATTCAAGTGGTAGTAAACAGTATATCTCTTTGTTAAGTAAACGGTTGTATGAGTACTA